GTTTACTGCTTGAAGATTCCGTCAGTTGTTTTCTTTGTAAAAGTTACTTGAATAACGGCATGAATGCATAGGTGTTTGGTCGATTGGACCGCCGAGTCAAGTGTTGCTGAAAAATGATTACGGTCTCATTGTCAAGGTACGTTGTGCCAGTTATATTGCTTTGTGCTTCGTTTTTGTTCAGGCTGAAATATTAAGTTCTATTTTTAAGTTTCAGTTTAATACTAACAGATGTAGCAATTATTTGTAGCAGAACAACAGAGACAAACTACGATTATCTTTAAGTCTGTAATATTTATTTCTTAAATCTATATTGCCAACTTTCAAACACCTATTTTTGGTGTTACTGTAAAGCATATGAGAAGTAGCGACTCTTTTAAAGTAAGTAACGATAGGCAGAGCATTTCTCTCTACGATAAAGACTGATTTGCACTGTTGCTCCGAAGACTGTAAAATGTTAAGAAGCTGTTCCACTTAAAGTGCCCCTTAAGCCTCGTAAAGCGCGTTGTTATAGTGCCTAGTAAATCGACATAATAGTAGCTGAATAATGGTCTGTGAGTGTTCTGATTATTAAATTGGTGATATGCTGATAAATTGTGTTAATTGATAAACGATTAGCCGTTTATCGTTTTTTCTCGTTTCTTTTTTCTTTATCAGTGTGAGTTTATTATATGCAAGAATTCTATAAGGCTAAAATATGCTATATTACGTTATTAAAATTATTATAGCGTGATTAATAGCGGAAGTCTGACGATAGACAAAATATCTAAGTTTCACAACAGGCTAACATAAGTTACCGGTATAGAAAATTACGTTGTTGGTTTCGATATTGATTCTCATTATATCGATATTCATTCTCGTTTTGAGAACGTTTGGAGAAATAAATTACGATACAGCTAATTCTTGAAGAATGAATTATGTTTTGTGAGTGCTATTTTTGATTGATTTTACATTATTTCAGAGTAAAGCTCATCATCATGCAATTTCTGCTAGATTACATCGTCCTTTTAGTTTCGCGGATGTACCACTAGTCCTGCAGTAAGTATTTATTTTGCCAGTTTTGAATGCAGGCTTTTATATTCACATTTTAAGGTATGACGTCAAGTTCCAAAATGGCCAGGAGTGTGGCGGATCTTATGTGAAGCTGCTGACCGATACCGCTACCTTAGATTTAGTAATGAAGTCTCGTAAACTGTTTTGATCTCTACTCATTATTTAAATTTAGAAAAATTTCCATGATAAGACTGCCTTTACGATCATGTTTGGTCCTGATAAATGTGGTATTGAGTCCAAAGTTCATTTCATTATTCGTTTCAAAAATCCCGTTACCGGTCAAGTTAAGGTATAGAATTTTTTTCGTAATTTTTGTTGAAAATCAGAGGCAGTACTTGCAATGAAATGCTCTTTCAGTAGTGATGCGACTTCGTGTATAGTGTAATACAATATGAGCCCATCAGTACCATATTACTCTGAAAAACAGTTACCGTTCTTATAGCAGATACTGACTTTACTTAAAGTAGTTTCTCACTGTAGCTTAGTCATTTAGTCATCCTTTTGAAAACAAGTTCATAGGTAGGCAGTAGAGTGTGAATTCTGCAAAATTCAAAGTTAGTAAAGTATCATTTATAGAATGGTCGTTTCGTTTCAATTTCGGCATGCCGTCTTGCATATGAGGCAGTTTAAAATGTAATTGAAGTGATGTTATAAGGAACTGTTTTTAAAAGTCAGTGTAGTAAAATCTTTAATATTTACCGATTTTTTTGACCATTTTTCACGCACTGGCGATTCGGAATAATGGTGAAATGAGGAAATAGAAAATACTACTGAATGAAGCTGTTATAAAATCGTTTGCAAACGAACTGAAAAGCGTTTTTCTTCATGATTATTTTGAGCTCCGTTTTTAAATCATCTGAAATTCTGGTTTAAACAGTGCATGAAAATGGATCAATAGCAATATGATTCTTTCCTTCCTGTTTCAGTTACATAAAACATCCTTATAGGACTAATTTCTGCTTTACGCAGACGTTTCTTTCAGCAATGACATTAGCCTTCATCTCAGTGATAATCAGCTGGTTAACTTTATAGCCTATTAATTTTTTAAGCATCCGATTATTTAGGTAAAACTTAATTGTTTGTTAAACAGCAGCGTATAAGAATTCACTGTACTATATTTCAAAATTAATGTCGGCAATGTTAATTGACATTATAAACATAATTCTTGTCCCATTTACTCGGAATGTCTGAAAGATACGTAGTAATGTGACATTCTGTATTTACCATTTTTCGTTATTTTGAAGTTTCTGAGTTTATGGCGAGCTTACGTGAAGAATACGCTTCGTTACACTTCACTGTGTGATGCATTCATGTATTTCATTAGTTCTCCATTAATATTGACTTTAAAGTCGAACCTTATTGATGATTATAACTGTCAGCTAGTGGCCAGTGTCTACTTGTCGAAATGTCGGTCCTGTGAATTTACATTTATGTTAAAAGCCGTGAAACGTCCATTACATCGTCAGCTGATGATGGATGGTGTCACCTCTGTCGGTGCTGATATGTAAAGATAAGATTTGTTATATACGTTAAATGCCGTCTAACACTGAATTGGAAGGGCGACATTTTTCGTCAGTCAGTTTTTCAGCTTTGCTTCGAATGTAACTTGTCATGATCGAATATTTAAACAGTTAAATGCTCAAGTTGCCAGAGCTTCTGAGGAATATCAGACATATGATCCATAATTAGTTCTACACAGGACTTTCACATGGCTAATAAAATTGATGTAAAATCAACATGCGTATTCCATCATGGAAATGGGATTTAATATGCTATTAACGAAGCCATACTGTGTTAGTTTTTGGTCTTAAGTATTGTTAAATGGACTTAAGTCTAATCTTATTTAGGAGCACATGGCGAAGCAGTCCGATAAAGGACTTGATACATATTTCAGCGATAAAATGTCACACCTTTGGACTCTAGGTAATAGATGAATAGCAGACTTTTCATTTCCAGTCAGACTTAGATAATTTTTAACCATCAAAAAACGAATTTAATTTTAGTGCTGTTGACGGATGGCAATTATCGAGTGTTCGTCGACCAGAAGGAACTGATGCGAGGCAATCTACTTGACTTGGAGTATTCAGCAGCTTTCGTTTGGCGTTGCATACATTTTAGTTTTTTAGGCCTAGCATAATCGCTCCAAAGCAGATCGAAGACCCTAACGATCGAAAGCCTGATGACTGGGACG